AGACAGGGAGTCTAGAAGGACTTCTTTAGATGAAGAGGAGGCTGATAAGATTTGGAGTCTGATTTGGAATGAGTTGGAGGGGCTTAAAAGCAAGGAGATGGAACAAGAAAGCAGGGACAAGTTGATGTTGCCAGAAAGGAAAGGAGAAAACTCAGGGACTAAGGGTGGTGGCGTTCTGGAGGATGGGCAGAACCAGGAAAGAGAAGAAGCAAATAAGGTGTAGGTTTATAATAGGAAGAGTGAAGAAAAAAAGAAAAGAAGGAAAAAGAGATCAGATGTTGAGGGTGATTTAGAATTCAGTGGTAGGGGTGATAGACGGAGAAACCCAAACTAGGGGAAAGCAGACTTAAAAGGGTTTTAGTGAAGCTGGTGTTATGAAGATAGTCAGTTGGAATGTAAGAGGTTTGGAGAGTGCGAGGAAAAGGCAAGCAATAAAAGATTTGCTGAGAAGAGAAAATCTAGACATTGTAATGCTACAAGAAAAAAAAAATCTCAGAAATGGAAGGCCATTTGATCCACAGTGTTTGGGGTTCAAGAAGTCTTAGATGGTCTTATAGTCCTTCTTGTGGGGCTTCAGGCAGAATTTTGACAATTTGGAAAGACGAGGTGGTGGAGTCAATGGAGGAGTTAATTGGAAGGTTAGCAGTTTCTGTGAAATTCCAGAACTTAGGGGATGGATTTATTTGGGATCTCACCAATGTCTATGGTCCAAATAGATATCGGGAGAGGAATGAGATGTGGGAGGAACTATTTGCCATCAGGGGCCTTTGGGAGGGGCCGTGGTGTGTGGCCAGGGATTTCAATATGATTAGGTTCTCCAATGAAACAAACAACCCTAACCAACAGGTGACCACTAATATGAGAAGGTTTAATGATTTTACAGAGGGATGTAAACTGAAGGAACTTACTTTGTTGCATGCCCGTTTTACTCGGTCCAACTTTTCATGAAATCCCCAATTGCTCAGAATTGGACAGATTTCTCTTCAATGAAGCCATGGAATCACATGAAGAAAACCTGGTGTCTAAAGCCTTACCTAGAGTCACATCTGACTACTGTCCTATTAAGTTAGGTCAAGAAACCTCAAAGAGGCCCCACCCCTTTCAAATTTGAAAACATGTGGCTTACACACCCAGATTTTGTGCAGAAAGTGGAGGGCTGGTGGAAGGAGGAATTAGGGGGGGTATATTGGAAAGGTGTGAAATTTCATAAGAAATTAAAGAGGTTGAGAATGAAAATCAAGGAATGGAACAGGGATCACTTTGATAGAGGAGTTAGATGAGAAGGAAGCCCAAGGGACCCTGGTAGGAGAGGAAAGAAAATTGAGGTGTAGGATCAAGAAAGAGTTGGAAGAAGTCTTATTAAGGGAAGAGATCAGTTGGAGACAAAAATCAAGATGCAAGTGGTTAAAAGAAGGTGATGGTAACATTAAATTTTTTCATACTTTGGCAAATGGGAGGAGGAGGAAAATTTTGTGGCCAAATTGGAGACAAAAGGGCAAGAGATAACAAACCAAGATGAAATTGCCAAGACTTTTGTGGACCACTTCAAATCAATTTATGGGAGACCCTTGGATGATAGGTTACGACTGGAAGACTTTGAGTGGCCCCAAGTCGAGACTGAAGTAGCACACTGGCTGGAAAGAGACTTTGAAGAAGAGGAAATAAGGATGTCAGTGTTCTCAATGAACAGATCGAAAGCCTTGGGGCCAGATGGCTTTACTATGGCTCTCTACCAAAACTGTTGGGACATTGTAAAAATTGATCTTTATGAAGTCTTCTTTGAATTTGCAGAGAGGTGTTTTGTGACTCAAAGGATGAATGCAACCTTTCTTGCCCTTATTCCAAAGAAGATTGATGCTAGCCATCCAAAGGAGTTTAGATCCATCAGCTTAGTAACAAGCATCTACAAGATCTTAGCTAAGGTTCTTTTGAGATTAAAAGCAGCTCTTCTAACCATACTTAGTCAAAATCAGAGGGCATTCGCCCAAGGGAGACAAATAACTGATCAGATTCCTATTGCGAATGAATGTGTGGAGGATATGAAGAGATCATGGAAAAAAGGTTTTGTGTGCAAATTGGATTTGGAGAAAGCCTATGATTTGGTAGACTGGACAGTCCTTGTTGAGATAATGAAAAATTATGGGTTTGGGGATAGATGGTGTAAGTGGATTTTTGGTTGTATTAATTCATGTCACTATTCTATCCTAATCAATGGATTGTCGGAGATTTCTTTCCAACTTGTCAGGGTTAAAGGGAAGGCGATCCTCTTTCACCTTTTCTTTTCACCTTAGTAGCTGATGTGTTTAGTAGAATGATCTCAAAGGCTGATGGGGAGAATGAAATGAAAGGGTGGAAGGTCGGAAGGAATATGGTTTCAGTAACACATTTGCAATTTGCAGATGATATCATAATCTTCTGTGAAGGGGAAAGGCAAGGTGTAGTAAGGAACCTAAAGGAGGTGGTGAGGAAGTTTGGGCTTGTTTCTAACCTAAAATTCAACCTTGAGAAAAGTTGTGTAGTGGGGATCAACTTGGAGGAGGGGGAACTAAACTCTGTTGCCAACACCTTAGAGTGCTCCACGGCTAGTTGGACCTTGACCTACCTTGGCCTTTCTTTAGGAGCAAATCCTAAAGAAAAGTAGATTTTGGAATCCAGCTATCAAAAGGTGTGCAAAGAAGCTGGCTACCTGGAAGAGAAATTATGTATCATTGGACAAAAGAATTACTCTGATCAAATTCACTCTTGCCAACAGCCAACCTACTTTTTTTTTGTCAGTTTGTAGGATTCCCCAAAAGGAGGTGAAAATTTTGAAAAAACCATGAGAGATTTCCTTTGAGAGTCAAGTGATGGAAAGAAAGATCATTTGGTTAAATGGGAGGTTGTGTGTAGAAGCAATTCAAGAGGGTGGATTGGGTATTTGAAATATAGATAAAAGGAATTCAGCTTTGTTAGGGAAATGGATATGGAGGTGGCCGAGGAAAGGGATAGGTTGTGGCATGAAGTCATTGCTAGCATACATGGGAGGTTAGGAAACAGTTGGGATGCAGGAGTATCTAACAAGGCTACACTGACCTCTCCGTGGAAATCCATCCACCGCACTTTACCTCTTTTACTTCTATCAGGCATGATGTTTGCTCTGGGATCTCTGTTAAATTTTGGGAGGATACATGAATCAGCTCTTGCCCGTTGAAAGATCTTTTTCCTGCTTTATATTCGGTTTCCTTGTATAAAAATGAGATTGTGTCAAATTTTATTGTTCCTCCAGTACTCCTTGTGGGCCTCAATTGGGATTTTGGTTTCCGTAGAGGTCTAAGAGATAGTGAAATCTCAGCTTGCTCAAATCTGTTACAAATCCTTCAAAATGTTAGTTTGGACCCTGATAAGCCTGATAAACGTATTTGGGCTCCCTACCCTAAGGATCTATTCTCCTATGCATCTTTTTTGTTCAAGACTCTTTGCATTCCATCGAGTCATCCGTCTTTTCCCTTTAAAGAGTTCTGGTGTAGACCCATTCCACCCAAAGTAAGAGCTTTGTGTTGGGAAGTAGTGCACAGGAAGATTAACACATTGGATACATTACAAAAGAGAGTGCCTAATTCTTGTCTCTCTCCTAACTAGTGTATCTTATGTAAATCCAATACTGAGAGTTGCTATCACATACTGATCTCTTGTCCCTTTGTTGCAGAGATTTGGCTTTGGTTTTTTTCTTTGTTTGGGTGTAGGTGGACCTCACCATCAGAGGTCAACATGCTTTTCGATCCTTCCATGTTTACTCTGCCAAAAAAAGGGGAAGGACAATGTGGAGATGTGTTAGAGCAGCCTTGGTGTGAACTATTTGGGGAGAGAGGAACGCTAAAATATTTTTAGAAAAAGAGAGGAGTAAAGAAGTTGTTAGGGATTGTGTAATGGTAAGGGTGATCCATTGGATAAAGACTCTACAATTGTTCTCCCAATTGTCCTTTGATGATGTCTGGAGGAACTGGGAAGCAATTGACAAAAGTTCCTTTAGAAAGGAAAGTGTGGAGATGCATTGGATACCTCCAACTGAGGGTTTTGTGAAACTGAACTTTGACAGGAGCAGTCAAGGTAATCCAGGCCCATCAGGTATTGGAGGGGTATTAAGAGATTCAGAAGGTCAAACTGTAGCTCTATTCTCAGGCCCCGTGGGTTTGGGTGACTCTCTCAAAGCAGAGTTGCTTGCAGCAGTACAAGGAGTGCAGATTGCAAATGAGCTACAGCTAGCAAATGTGGTAATAGAAGGGGATTCAGAAGTGGTGGTGGGGTGGCTAAACGACCCAGACTCTATAATCTGGTGCTACAGGAATGAAATGAAGAAGTTTAAGTGGCTCACTAGAAACATGAATCTCAGGATACAATGGGTCAGGAGATCAGCAAATGGGATGGCGGATGGCATTGGCTAAGCAAGGGGTGAATAAGGATAATTTGTTTTGGGCTCAGTTGTAATTTTTCCTTGCTTTTTATAGAGGTAGCACCTCGTGCCTCTCTAAGGGATGCTTGTAAAGTCTTATCTTAAAGTTTAATAAAAATTTCAGTTTATTCATCAAAAAAAAAAAAAACACAAATCAGTTCTATTGGGGTTTGTCTTACAAGAAATCTGAGCATAATACATAAGCAAAAGAGTTAGAAAACAGTGGGTTAGGCAGAAGGAAGTAGCCTAAACTTTAAAGGGGTGATTGGCACAATTTTAATTGCATCACATTCTTTATCTCATACATCAATTCTGATTAGTTGATAAAAAAAAAATTATAAATTATGCAGCTAACATAAACTGCACAGCATACACATCGAAAGAGAGAGAGAGAGTGCATAGAATACAATATTATTTTGTAAGATTATATAGAAGCCACTGAAGAAATAGCCATAGTTAGGATCTTAAAATCAAAGAAACATATCAAGATTATAAAAAGCAACCTCCATTTGAAGCACAACAAAGTTCCTCAAATGGGCAGGTAGAAAGGAACACAGTGTGTAAAAATGACCTTCTTTTTCTTGACAGGTTTAAGGATCTTGATGACACAGCGTTCATTGCTAGTGGTGTTTATTCCTTCAAAAACTTCACTGTATTTACCCCTTCCAACTTTCCGAACAACCTCATAGTCATCCTGATCACTGAGCAGAAAATCAAAATTCAGTTAGTAGTATGTAGAACTAGCACCAATAGCTTAGTTTTCTTTTAATCTCCAAAACAAGGACAGCAATTTTTTTCACTAAAGTAAAGACATTTGTCCATCCACAACCTACCACAAGAGGCAATCTTCATAAGAAAATTATTGCATTACTTACTAAAGTAACTTGTGCAGGATGAGCAATTTTTTCTTATCCATTCAAGAAATCATTAATAGTTTCTGTGAATCATAGACATGTTCACTTTCATTTAGGTTATGTTTAAGGAAAATTGGAATTGGCAAGTAATTGTAATTGTCAATTTTGTAGATCTGCAGGCTCGTTGGTTTGGTCCATTCCAACAGCAGAGAAGAATGTCATCCACTGTTACTGATCAAAAAATAAGAAATCTTCCCATAGGTTTTTTTAAATTCCAGCGGAACTGAAGAACAGAATTCAAATACAAAACCAGTCATTCAGTTGAAACACAGCCTTATTACCTTTTCAGCAGTACCTTCAGTCTACAGTTTTGGTTAGATTCATGCTTAGTGGTAAACGCACTCAAGGTTTACCACAGCTGGAGGCATGATATGCACCATACCTCTTCATCAGGTCAAACAAGGTTTTTTAGATCCATTATTCTTCTTCATTTATTTTATGAGGATCATTGTGCTTCCTTCAGATTTTCAGAACCAATTGCATGAACTAAACAGTAGTTGGACAACAAGGATCAAACAATTCTACTAATTCCTGTCTTGACAACAATCTAAGATAGTAAATCTAATAGGAGTGATGCTCATAAATATTCATCATTGTTTTGATTGGCAAACTACTTGCTAAACTAAAGCATCAGATAACTCTTTTCTAATTTTTACTCTACCCAATGTCATTATTAATGATGAAAAAGACCAATACTGAACCTATAATCTTTCTAGGTAAAAGAGATACAAATTAGAATCTTCTCGGTGGTCAGTTTTTAAGGATTGAACTCATTGAACTATTGACCATTTTGAATGAGTTGTAGGAGAAACCATGTCATTCTTGGTAAGATGGCACTAGCAGGACCTAAAAGGGGTTAAACTCTTCCACCCCCACTAAACTCTCAACAGGAACCGAGTTAAGTTAAATCCAACTGTTCTAAGCCGGTAGAAGCATATATGGTTAACCACAACGTGACGTAGAATTGTGATTTTCTTTCTTATCAAGTTAACTGGAGAATAGAGGTAGTCAGAGAGAGATTCTATGTGGTTAAACCAAGTTTTCTGTAATAAGGATTCCAAGTACTGAAGATTGAAGCCAAACACCAAGTTCTATTGGAAGCTAATGTAGTTTATGGGAAACCGCTGTCCTCAGTGGCGATAATACTCCAAATATTAAGATAAAAGTTCTGCTAAGTTCCCCGTTCAGTAAAACAAACCACGTTTATTAAGTAGTAAAATTTATAGTAGACAGGATGAAAATCCAAGAGATTGGGGAAAAAAAGAACACTGTAGCTAACTTCAATAGCATGAGTTTAGAAGACCACCCAGCGCTCACCCATTTGCGAGAGCCCAGAGCATCCCTTCGCAAACAGAATTTACAAGAATCTATACAACAAATTTAACAATAAGGGTTGCAATTCCAGGGAAAAAGCATCTGATCGATTAAATTTTTTCTCATTCCTGTTGGTTAATACTTCCTCTCTGGGACGAAAAGAAAAGGGAAACCAACTTATAAAGAAGTGCAAGCACATACCCTTGATCCCTATATGAAATGGAAAGAAAATATAAAATAAAGTAGGAATGAAAAAGTTTGCACGGAAAGCGCATCAACCAGACAATAAAACCGAAACAGGGAGAGATATTAGGGCCTTTACCCCCACTGGACGGTCAGAGACTCGTAATCCCAATACTCTTTGGGGCGGAGAACATTGATATCTACATAGACTCGAGCCTTGGACATGGTGAAGGAGGTTCAACGGCCGACCTCAACGACGTCGATTTTCTAGTAGGTGCTGGTATTCGCTGTAATTGTAGTAACAAATTCGATATCGGGGCGAACCAGACGAGGTGAAGGAGGAGAAGAGGCGCAAGTTAGAAAGCTGCGGTAGTGGCGCGTAGAACGCCACCAGCGTGCCCGCTGGCTAGAGCCGGAACGCAGGATTATAAGCATCTTGCGTTCATGTATTAGTATTGAATTATCAATTCACCATCCCCGCCGTCCCGTCCCTTGCACCGTTTTTACATTTTACTACCAAACAAAAGAAGCTGCTTCGGCTTGTTCCCCCGCGAAATCTCAATCGAATTTAACACAAGGCTGTGGAAACGATGCAAATGGAGTATAAATCTTGGTGCAGGGTAAATTTGCACTCTGGTACACTTTTCCCTAAGTTTGGCAATATTACATTTATTAGTGAAAGTGTATGTGCATTGCACGATGATGATAATGATAATAGCCAACAATAAAATGATATTAGGGATTGAACCATTAATCTATTTAACTAGGAAAGTAGACTATAATTAAGATATTAATTCATTTTATCTTTGCATTTTAGCCATGTCTATCTTTACTAATAATAATTCTTATTTTTTAAACATATTTTTATTTAATATGAAGAATATATAATATTAATGTATGTTTAAATTTTCTATAAAATTTATAAAAAAAATTATATATTTTTATTTTTTATTATTTAATTTATAAGATAATAAAAATTACTTATTTAACAAGAGGAAATGCAATTCCAATATATTGTTTGAATATTGGTTTTTAATATTGTGACCAAATCACTTATATATATATATATATAATATGTTATTTATTATTTATTTATAAATATGTTATTTGTATTGCATTTTTTTTAACTTCTTACATGATGAAAATAGTTGAAAAAACACTTATATTTTTTGTTTTTCTTTACTTCAACTATTATATTTTCCTTTAAATAATTTATTATTTTTTAAAATTAAATCGGGTCATATCAGATTCGGATATCCAATATATATTGATCGAATTCAGATTTGAATCAATATTTATGAGATCCGATCAGATCTTCAGATCGAATCGAATTTAAATATACCATTATTCAAATCTGATCCAATCTATTTGCACCCCTACCAAACCATTCGCCTACAATAACCTAGCTAGTTAAACCATTAAACCATTTAACATGGTTAGTGGGGTCATGTGTTAGACATTAATTATCTTTATTTTTTATCCTAATTTTTATCCCATTTCTATCATTAATGAAAATTGTTCGGGGATTGAAGCAAGAGATCGCGGAGCTTAAGGCAGGGTGGGAGAGGTTGAGGTAAGAGGTTGTTGAGGAAGCAGTTGGAGATGAAGTTGCACATGGATGAGTACGCTAAGGCTTCCTCCGTGGCTGGATTCAACGTCTTCCGACGAAGGATCCTTCGCCACCATCCGGAGCTGGTCGAGGAGTTGCAAGGCTGTGGTGCTTTCGATCTGGATACTCCACAAGATTCCGCTGAAAGAGCCGATGAAGAGGCTGAGGTCGAAGCTGTTGATGGGGCTACTGATTCTGTTGTCATGGATTGAGCAGCTTTTTCTTCTCTTTTTTTTTGCTAGCTCGGTATGCCGAGCCTTAAACGATGTAACGGACCATCTTAAGTTGAATATCAATTGTTTGTGTTGACTACATATATGCATCCTACTATTATTGCTATTCTTGCCTGTGCATTTTTCTTCCAACCGAAGCATGGCCGGCTCGGCTATTGCTCGTGCCGAATTGGGCAATGCCTCAGTGTTTTGCTACTTGTATGATTGCCTTCCGTTGACCGAGGCATGGCCGGCCGAGAGCGATTCAAGCAGGGATGTGCCTTGAGCGTTCTCTTCGTAATGCAAATTTCTTTTGTTGGTCGGGGCACGGTCGGCCGGGCCATGCCTCGGTTCCCCTAGTCTTTCGCTAACCGAGGTGTGGTTGTCCGAGATCTTTCATTTCCCGAGCTCTTAGCCATGGGATGCTCAGTTTCTGGTCTCGGAAGCCTTTGGGGCCCTTCTCGGGCTAGTCGCCAGTTGTGCGGAGTTCCACAACCGCCCTTAAGCCTTGGTAGGCGGGGGCAACCTTTCTCCATGTTTAGGCTCAACCGTGGTCAGCTGAGTCGTGTAGCTTAGTTGACGATGCGTTGCCGATCAGGGTGTTATAGGCTCGGCCGTTCTGGGGTCGGCAGAGTCGACTTGGTCGATGGCTTGGCATGTGCATGTGTGGTGTGTGCGGTAGGCGTGTGTATGCCTACAAGTTGGAGCTATAGCTTGAGAAAAGAGATTTTTATTGCTTGCAGATTTATTGGTAATACATCCAAAGATTTTCCGAGTTCCACCTCCTCGGTATCGGTCAGCCTTTGAGATCTTCAAGTCTATAAGTGCTCGGCCCAAGGACCCTAGTGACTCTAAATGGCCCTTCCCAGTTCGGTCCAAGCTTGCCTTCTCCCGGTGCGGGGACAATGACTCTGCATAGGATGAAGTCGCCTATCTTGAATTCGCGTCTTCTGACCTTGGAATCGTAGTGCTTTGCCATCCTCTACTGTTGTGCGACCATCTTTACATGTGCTTAGTCCCAGGCTTCCTCTATTAGGTCCAACTCTGCGCGTAGATCTTCGTCATTCTGCCCCTCGTTGAATAGTTCGGTCCGAAGGGTTGGGGAACCTATTTCCATGGGGATCATGGTCTCGGCCCTGTAGGTCAGGCTAAAAGGGGTCTCTCTGATGGCAGTCCGCGGGGTCGTCTTGTAGGCCCATAGAATGCTCGGCAGCTCCTCAACTCACCTTCCCTTGGCTTGATCTAGGCGTGTTTTCAGGCCGTGTAGTAGGGTGCAGTTGGTTACTTCGGTCTGTCCGTTGCTCTGGGGTCAGTGCACTGCGGTAGTCTGGTGATCGATCCTCAGGTCGACACAGAGGGCGTTGAACTTCTTGTCGGTGAATTGTGTCCCATTGTCTGTGATGAGCACGCGCGGGATACCGAAGCGGCAGACAATTCCCTTCCAGAGGAAATTCCAAGCATTATGGGCGGTGATGCATGCCAGAGCTTTGGCTTCCACCCACTTCATGAAGTAGTCCACTGCTACAAGAAGGAACTTCTTCTACGCAACCGTGGTGGGGAAGGGGCCGAGGATGTCCATTCCTCATTGGACAAACGGCCATGGGCTGGTGATCAACTTTAGAGGGGCAGCTATCGCACTCTCCATTGGAGTGACGCTGGCAACTTTCGCACTTCTGCATCATCAGCCAGAAGTAGCCCTACCGGAGTGCCTTTATGGGCCAATGTGCGTGTGTCGGGGTGATCTCCGCAAATGCCCTCATGTATCTCCCTAAGGACGTAGTCTGCTTCGGCTGGGGGGAGGCACTTCAGGTATGGAAGAGTGTGGGAATGGCGATAGGGTTGACTCTGTATTAGGCAATATTGGGCCACTCTGTGTTGGAGCTTCTTCGCTTCTACTCGATCTTCTGGGAGAGTGCCCTCTCGAAGATACTCGATTATGGGGTCCATTCAAGATTGGCCATGTTGCACTAGGAGGACGAGGAGGGTCGTTGGTGCGATGCTCGGCTGGGCTAGTGTATCTAGCCGAACAGTTGAGTCAAAGTCGGTCTGCGGCGAGCTAGCCACTTTCGAAAGGGCATCGGCTCAGGCGTTCTTGGCTTGAGGGATCTGCTGAATATTGAAATGCTCAAGCTGTTGAATGAGCTTCTACACCTTTTGTAGGTAGCTCGCCATTGAGGGGGTCCAAGCCTCGAACTGGCCGTAGATTTGGTTGACCACAAGTTGCGAGTCACTAAAGGTCTCGATTCTTCGGGCCCCAAGGTCCAAGGCAAGGCGGAGCCCAACAATCAAAGCCTCATACTTGGCCTCGTTGTTGGACGCCTTGAACTCGAACCTGAGGGTGTGTTCCAACACTGCATCGTTTGGGCCGAGGAGGATGAGGTCGGCGCCACTACCCTACTGGTTTGACGAGCCATCTACGTGGAGAGTCAATACTGGGGGCAGTGGGGCCGGTTCCTTGATGGTAAATGTACATTCTGTGATGAAATCCGCCAAGGACTGGGCTTTGATCGCCGGTCGGAGTGCATACTCGATGTCGAATTTGCTTAGATCCACGCTCCACTTGACTAGGTGGTTGGATACTTCCGACCTTTGTAGTATTTACTTAAGGGGTTGGTTGGTAAGTACTCGAATGTTGTGGGCCTGGAAGTAGGGTCTGAGTTTTCTGGCGGCTGTGACAAGGGCCAAGGCTAACTTTTCTAGGTTGGAGTACTGGGTCTCTATGCTTCTGAGGACTTTGTTGGTGTAGTAGATCGACCTCTATACCCGACCTTCTTCTTTAATCAGTACTAAGCTGACGACCTCATCTCTAGCCAAGAGGTAGAGAAATAGCTCGTCCCTTGGGTTCAGCTTAGTTAGGAGGGGCGGCGAGCTCAGGTACTGCTTCAGCTCCTGGAAAGATTGCTCACATTCTTCTGTCCAATGGAAATCCTTTGGCTGTTTGAGGGCTTTGAAGAAAGGGAGGCACTAATCCATGGACTTGGACATAAATATGCCAAGGGCGGCTATTCTCCTGGTGAGTTGTTACACCTCTTTATGGGTCCGAGGGGATGGCATGTCAAGGATGGCCTTTATCTTCTCTGAATTTGCTTTGATTCCTCTATGTGTTACCATGAACCCCAGGAACTTACCGAAGGCGACCCCGAAAGCGCACTTGGTTGGGTTTAACTTCATCTTGTATTTTCTGAGTGTGTCAAAGACTTCGCGAAGGTCGGCCAAGTGGTGTTCAACCTTTTTGCTCTTTACGAGCATATCGTCGACATATGCCTCTACATTCCAGCCGAGCCACTCTTTGAATACCTCATTCACCAGCCGCTGATAAGTGGCACCAACATTTTTGAGGCCAAAGGGCATTACCTTGTAGCAGTACAAGCCACGATTGGTGATGAAAGCCGTTCTCTCCTGGTCGCCCGGGTGCATCCGGATTTGGTTGTAGCCTGAGAAGGCATCTATGAAGCTCAACAACTCATGTCCCGTTGTTGCATCGATGAGTTGGTCGATCCTTGGCAAGGGGAAACTGTCTTTGGGACAGGCCTTCTTCAAGTCGGTGAAGTTAATGCAGATTCTCCACTTTCCGTTGGCCTTTTTCACCATTACTACATTGGCCAGCCAATCGGGGTACTTAACTTCCCAAATGAAGCTGGCGTTGAGCGGTTTCTGTACTTCATCGGTGATGTGTGATAACTTCGGGGTTGACGTTCAGCCAATGTGTGATAACTTCGGGGTCGATCCCGGGCATGTTTGTTGCTGACCAAGCGAATACGTTGGCATTTTTCCTCAATAGTTGCACAAGTTCCTCTCAGAGGTGGTTGTCTAGTAGGGAGCCGACTTGGACTGTCTTTTCGGGATCTTCTTCGAAGAGTGGGATCTAGACGAGGTCTTCCACAGGCTGGTTGCACTGTGCGTTCACCTCGTCACATAGGTCATAGGCCTCCACCATCAGCGTCTCAACGGTTGGACGTGGTCCTCTGTAGGAGAGCTGATAACAGTGTCGCGTTGTTCTCTGGTCTCCGCATGCCACTCCTATGCCATATTTGGTTGGAAATTTCATGGCGAGGTGGTATGTCGAGACTATGGCCAGCAAGGCGTTGAGGGTTGGCCTGCCGAGGATCACGTTGCAGGAGGAGGGGCAACGCATCACGATGAAGTCTACCATGGCCGTCGCAGTGGCATCGCCGTCTCCGGTCAGGAGGAGGGAGTTATTCTCCCAATGGGTTGGAGGGACTCTCCCAAAAATCCCATCAAGGGAGTGCTGGTTGGTGTTAGCCGCTCTCTGTCGATGCCAAACTTTTCGAATACATCTTCGAACAATACATCGACAGAGCTTCCTGTGTCGACTAGGATCCCCTGCAACTCGAAGTTGGCCACTTCGGCCATGACGACCAAGGCGTCGTCGTGCGGTGTCTAGACCCCTCGGAGGTTATCGCCAGTGAAGGTGATAGATGTGCCATGCCTCTTCCCGTGACCTCAGTCGTCGATTTCACACAATCGAGCATATCTTTTCCAATCCGAGCTACTTTTCCCCTTTGGCGGTGGCTCCTCCTGATATGATGTGGATGATGCTTGCTGGGGGCCTCGGGGCAGCGGTTGTCGTGCTTCATCTGCTCTTCGTTCCTCTTGGGTTGGCTTATCACTTCTAGCTCGGATATGGCTAAGATCCGAGCTACATATACCATTCCCGCAGAATACCAAATGAGGTGTCCACTGCTCGGGGAGATGGCCACTAATGCTCAGCCCGGTGAGCTATGCGTTTATGAACACAGCTTGGAGGCTAAGCTGAGGTTCCCATTGAGTGAGGGGTTCGTCGAGGTGCAGGGTGTTGCCAGTGCAGCTGATGCCAAACTCCTTTAGGTTCTTGCTTGGCCTTATGTCCTACTGCGTCGTCCGCGATATCGAACTAACCCTGGGGATGGTGAGCTTTATGCTCCAGCTGAAACACCACCAGTAGGGATACTATTACTTCTCCAATAGGCGGAATATCCGGTCGTTGGTCGGGTCCTCTTCTTCTATGAAGCACTAGAAGGAGTCGTTCTTCTTCGTGCGCATTCCCGGGGGTCTCCCTTTTCCTGCCGAGCCGTGGGAGCCAAGGACGACTGTATCATAGCCCCAATGGTCGGCACTCACTTGGGAGGAGAGGTCGGCCCTGAGCATGATCCACGAAATTGATGTTATCGCGTACACATGCTCGGAGATGCAGATGCTCGTCGGGCTGATGGAGAGGGTGGCCGGTCTGTTACTTTTACTATTTGTTCGCCAAGTTATCGTTCCTTTGCTCGCTTTCTACTTATCTTGGGTATCCTGTGTTGCAGGTATAAGTATGGCCAGCGAGGAAGAGATTGTTCGTCGGATGAAGGCACTTTGGCAGAGGCAAGGCGAGCTGGTACGCAACTGGAGGCTCATCCCAAGAAAGAGGAGCGACCACGATCGCGGATAGGGCGGCTCATCGGCAAAGGAGAGTTTGGCAATGGGAGGCCGAGGAGGACGACATTGTCATGATTGACCCTGAAGGGGTTCATCGTCCTATAGGTGCATCGGGAACTGAAGCGAGCAGCAGCTCAGGTCTGCACCTGTCGCGGTGGTCGATTCACACTGATGATAACGTGGAGACGCCTGGGGTTCCCAAGCAGTTGTTGTGGGGGATCATGACTATATCTATAGCTCAGGAGTCAGTCGGGGTCAGCAGCGGAGCCTTAGAGTGTGCTCTTCTTCGGTCAGCTACCCAAGTGAGTTCCTTTCTTACCCTTTGAGTTTTTGCCTCCCTTCTTTTTGTACACTAATAATCTTTTTCTTGCAGAACACTTGTGCGGCAGTCACATTGGTTGACTGTCTTCGTGACCTCTGAATTGTACTAGCGGGAACACTCAGAATATCTGTGGTAAAAGGCCCAATTGGTCGCGCTTCAGGCTGCCAGGGAGAGGTCGGCTGCGCTAGAGCGAGAGGTGGCCGAGCTGAAGGCGCAACTGGTTGAGTTGGCCCTGCGAGACACGTGGCCGCCTAGCTATTGCCTTGCCACATCGGCATAGCTTGGCCATGTCGGCCTAGCTCGACCGAGCTATGCTACCACGGTGGCCCCCCATCTTATCCTCTCAGCCACATTAACTACACGCCATATGGATGAGCACAACTACAGATAAGGGGGAATAAGGAAGACGACTCCGCTAGGGAATGGGACTCTATCCTGAATACCTCGGTGGCTAACCTCATCCCGACAACCCCGGAAGCCCAATCCGACCAGGACACGGATCTTCAGCTATAGAAAGGTACTCCATGCTCGAGGTAAGGGATCCCAACTTTTTAGACCGACACTACTATTTAGCTCGGACCAACGTCTTTATAGCTCGACCCGACCACCTACCACCTCCTACTGACTTGAGCGTCGGAGTGCTTACCAGGGGATAACTCCTCGGGCCTCTGTCTTCTGTTCCCTTGGTCACAAGTCTTGAAGCGCGGCCTCGTCCTTGTAGCTCGGCCCTGCCTTGTCAGCAAGGACTATTTGGTTGCTTTCTTCAGTCGTGCAACACCTCGGATTGAGCAGCATAAAAAATAATTCTCATTAATCACACTTTTTTATATGACGAATATATAATAATATTATAAAATGTACCCAAAATTATCTACAAATTTCTACATTTTTTAGAATTTTATGTATTTTATTATTTAATAATAATATCATGTGTTGATCCATTTGACATAGATAGTTAAGCCACTAACCCACCACTTGGATGGAAAAACCATTTTTTCTTTTTCGGTTGATTTTAATTCATGTATTACATTTTTCCATCAATAAAATTAATTCTTATTTTTTGCATTTATTTTTGCACATGGCAATACCAAATGATGATGATAATAATCAGTAACTAAAGGACCTTACTAGTTGGACCATTAACCTATTTAATTAGGAAAATGGACCATGATTAAGACATTAATTCATTTTTTTCTTTGTATTTTAGCCATTTCTATTTTTACTAACAATAATTCTCATTTTTTCAAACATATTTTTGTTTAATATGAAGAATATATAATATTCATTTTTTATAAAATTTATAAAAAATTCTATATATATATATATATTTTTATTATTTATGAGATAATAAAACTTACTTATTTACCAGGAGGAAATGCAATTCCAATATATTGTTTGAACATTGGTTTTTAATATTGTGGTCAAATCATTTATATATATAGTATATATATTATTTATATATAATATATATGTTATTTATTTTTTATTTATAAATATGTTATTTATTATTTATTATTGCATTTTTGTAAACTTTTTATATGATGGACATAGTTGAAAAAAATACTTATATTTTTTATTTTTTATTTCAACTATTATATTTTTTTATTTTAATAATTTATTACTTTTTTAAAAAATTAAATCGAATCGTATTAGATTCGAATATATGACATCTTGATCGGATTCGGATTCGAATCAATATTTATGAGATCAAGTCGAATATTTGGATCAGATCATATTTGAATTATGGTATATTCAAATCTAATCTGATATGTTTGCATCCCTACCAAACCACTTGCCTATGATGACCTAACTAATTAAATAATTGAACCATTTGACATGGTTAGTTGGGTCGTGAGTTAGACATTAATGTTCTTTATTTTTTATCTTAATTTTTATCCAATTTCTTTCATTAATGAAAATAATTCTCATTAATCACACTTTTTATATGATGAATATATAATATTATAGAATGTATCCAAAATTATCGACAAATTTCTAAATTTTCTAGAATTTTATATATTTTATTATTTAATAATAACATCCATTTGACAGGGATAGTTTAACCACTAACCCATCACTTGGATGGAAAAACCATTTCAATTTTTCGGTTGATTTTAAATCATGTATTCCATTTTCATCATTGATAAAAGTAATTCTTATTTTCACATTTATTTTTGTTTAATATGGTAAATATATAACAACAGAATTGTATCAAAATGCTTTATACAAAGCTTATATTTTTCTTTGAATTTATGTTTGTATGTATGTATGTATGTATGTTTGTATGTATGTATGTATGTATGTATGTATGTATGTATGTATGTATGTATGTATGTATGTATGTATGTATGCAATATTCATTACTTAGTTATGACATCATAGATTGACCCATTTGACCCAGAATTAGATCATTAACCTACCTACCATCTAGATATGGAAATGGTTTCATTTTCAATTGGTTTTAAATTTTGTATTTCATTTATATCATTGATAAAATAATTATTATTTACTTGTTTTTGTTTATATTATTAGTATATAATATTATAGATGTGCCCAAAATTGTTTCATATCTTTTGTACTATTCTATTTAAAAAAAATATATTTTTAATTATACATCATGGGTTAACCTATTTTACCTGAAAGGTTGAACCACTAACCCACCCCCTAGATAGGGAGATGATTTAATTTCCCATCGGTTTTAAGTTGTATATTTGATGTCCATCATTAATAAAATTATGTTTATTTTATCATAGTTATTTTTTAATATGACAAATATATAATAATAGATTTGTGTCCAATTTTTTTTTTCAAAATTTCATTTTTTTCTTTTTTTGTATTTTTTATATTTCTA